TAGATAAGGGGGTAGGGGAATTGGAACTCTGAGGTGAGTATGGTAAAAAGAAGTTTACTGTCCACTGTCACACTGTCACTTGTCCTTGAGATAGGTTGTCACCAAATTCATTAAAAATCAGATCATTGTGTAATGTAAGGATTTGTTTTTCAAAGAATGATGTTTTATTTTCGCATAGAAATATGTTTCCTTTGGAAGGCTGGAAGGTTCACTTGTATATGCAGGAATAACTTAGGTCTTAGAAATGGCCTTTGGGATTTTAAGAGTAGCTTTCCATTTTCCTTTACCTGATGCCTTTTCCAATGTGTCCAAATTGCCATACCTTTATTTTTTGAGAGATTATGGTTGCTCTATTCCTTGAGGCTTAAATGCATTTAGACTTGGCATTGATTTTGTTGTGCTGAACCCTTGCTTGAAAGCAATCCAGCTTTGAGGTCTAGTTGGCTCCAAACAGGGATTCAGGTAGTCACTGACATTCCATAGGGGTAAGTCCTAATATTGTGTGTCAATAACCTTTCAGTGACTCCTGCTGGGTCTAGTTCCAACTCTTAGCACTCAAGGATTCTCCATGATTTGTCCCAGCCTACTGTCCACATGTCCTTATTATTCTCTTATGCAAATCTTCTGCTGGTTTAAACAGATTTTTCTCAGTTTGGAACTTTTGTGCTTGGTATTGTCCTTGGCATAGAGTAGGTGAACAATAACTGCTTGCTGAAAAGATGCCACACCTTCATCCATTTGAAAAGCCATTCCCTTTCCTTTTTGTCATTGTAAATCCCAATACTAGTCAAGGAGCAGTTCCAGTCCCATGTTCTATTTTACACCATCCTCTGCTGACCTGCTCTCTTCCACTGAACACGAACAGGAGGCACCCACCTGCCATGTGTATCATAATTATGTTTTTTGATACCTCTCCATCTCCCCGCTGGCCTCTTGGCAGCATGAAGGTAGCCTGGACCTTGTCTGATTTATTCATTGTAGTATCCTGAGCACCTTGCATATGGTATATGCCCTCTTATACAAAATTGTTGAATAGCAAATAAATGATGATTTGTGATGTTTCTCCTGTTATTGTTTTGGATACTTAAATAGTTGAATACTGTTCTGCTCTTCACATCTTTGCCTGGTATTCTCAAGTAGTGTCTGAGAGGAACACAGCTGTTAAGAGCCTGTGTTATGTGGGGCTAGGCTTTCTGGGTTCCAGTTTTGGCTAGACTTACTAGCTGTGGGACGCTGGGTGAATTTAGTTAACCTCTTTGTATCTGAGATTTCTCATCTGTAAAATTAGAATAACAGAACTTACCTCTTAGGGAACTTGTAAGGATTAAATGAATTATCTAGGTCTATAATACCTTGTTTCCAATTTTTAAATTTTAAAAGCTCTGAAAATGGATAAAAACTGTATTTGGTAGGTTAGGTGTCAAAACTCAGGTGTTGACAGGTCTGGCTTGAACTGACATGAGGGTCTTTATAGTCTTTTATTCTACTTAATGTTTAATCTTTATTTGGTTTTCCATAGAATTAGTAACATGTTTATAAGGTAGTATCTCGGACTCTACTGGGGCATTAAATAATATATAATATATGCAAGTTATTGCCTATCCAAAAGTCTGGACATTTCTGAATTTGGAAGTACATCTGGCACCAAGGTTTTCAGATAAGGGATTGTATAATTTACAGCAAAGTGCTTAAATTAAGGCCTTTGCATGTAGTGAGTTTTTCTTGGTGACGAAGATTAGAGAGGTAAATACACTATTTTAACCTTCCCAATGCCTTGCTTTAATGGTTACCATGTAAATACATGCTGATTTATTCATGCAATAACTCTGAAAAGCGGGCTGTCTGTATGAGCCTCATTTTATCATAGGAAAACAGATATGTCTCTGGATCACATGATTGAAATGAGCCAAGACCCAGGTTTTTTAGTACTCTCTCATCTAGTACCATTAAGAATATTTATTTATTTTTTCTTCTGTTATTTAAACCAAAATGCTTCTTTAAGGCAAGCCTTTTGTTTGCAGGGGAGGGGGTGCAGAGGGAGGATTCGATAAAAAATTTGTTTAATATGATTAGACACTTGCTCTTTGCAGTCGCTAAACATTTATTGAACTTGTGTGTAAAAATTGGTATTAAAAGCAGGAGAAAGGTGTAAAACAAATGAGGCATGGTTCCTGGTCTTCAGTAGTTCTAGCACCATGCATGATTACACAGGAACAATGGTGTTCACTATAATTCCTTATTTTCCTCTGTAAGTTTGCACTCATTAATATTAAACACATACAAAGGAAAACACGAGATAATTGAAAAGTCATCTTAGTGTCCACTATATGGAATTGGTTTTTAATCATCCTCGCCACCCTCCGCTCCCAGAAATAAAATCCCTATATGACATCCTGGCCACCTTTTCTTTCCAACTGATCAAAATATGGTTTTTATTGTTCTCCCTTATCAATATTTGTAAATTACATATTTAATAATATTTGAACAAATTCATATACATTGTGATTTAGAATATGATATTCATACGAAAATTTGGGGTAAAACCCAGTACTTTAGGTAAACCAAATCTTGCTTGCAAGGGAAGCTATGAAACCCCTGGGGTGACCCTTTGAAAAGCACCGAGGCCATGCTGTGTGAGTCTGTTTCTTTAGTTAAATACCCATGCACTTTCATAACCTTAAATTTCCATGGACGTATATAAAAGGTAGTAGACATTAATTCCCCCCTCCCCCATGTTGCCTAATTCCTTTTAGTTCAAGGGAACACTCTGGTTCCCTTGCACAGTTAAAACTTGTGGCATACTATAGGAGCTTTGCTATTTATATATGAACCAGAAATGTGAGGGAAAATTGTGTCTGTTCCTTATCTTGCCTTAACCCCAGCTTTGATGCTATTTTTTGAACATATTTCTCTTAAATTGTTAGTAGACCACTATGAAATAACACCAGTTTTCTGACAGACAAGAACGTATATGGTAAATGCTTGGCTTATTTTTTATTCAAAGATGGCATCATATTGAATACAAGGAAAATATCAATTTTTAGTACAATTGGCCCAGTATATAATTTAAATACAATATTGTTTAACTTAATAGAATTAAGCATTTTAACCATTTTGAAGCGAAAGGGAGCTACAGGAAGATATACACAACAATCTGGTCTTTTAAACATGACTTTTGGTGTCCAGATAATCAAAGAGATCATACATTTTCCTGACTTAACTTTATTCCAGATTTCAGGTCCTCAAAGAAGCACACATTGAAATATTTATAATAATTAAGCCACTGTGAAGAGGGGTAATTCTGTTTGAATGCTGTTTTCTATAGTTTTTTGAACTGTTATGGCTCTCTTAAGCTTTTACTATAGTTACGATAGCAAGAAATCAAATAACAGCTTAGAGATGATAAAAATTCAGTAGCAGTTTCGATAAATTAATAGAGAATTCTCAATAGACCACCGAGAGCAGCTTCAGGTGTTAGAAGGTTTGTCTAAGCTTTTGAGTTGGAAGTACAGGAAGGTAGCATTGTGCTCTCCCATGTTCCACTGTTGTCCTTTGGTTCCAATGTCAAAGGTGCACAGAAGAGAAAGAACCAGAACAGATTGCTCAAATACTGTATATTCACAGAGTTTTGTGAAGATTATTATAATAATGTACATTCAAGTACTTGAGGAGTCTAGCTCACCATACTAACAATGTATTTATTAAGAGTGTACCTGCATTTTTGGACAGTCATCATCATCAGGATCGTGTTTGATCAGGAAAAAGCAACATTCAGGAGTATTTTTAGACTTATTCTACCCTCAGGTAATGAGCTCAAATGTTACAGGTAATGTTCTTCATTTGTAGAGCAACTTTCTTTTGAACCACAGTTAATTATCCTTATTTTATTTACTCTGGGGGAGCAGGCACAGTAAGGGTAAATGAATTGCAGAAGGTCACATTGTCTGAGGTGGAGCTAGGAGCAGAATGTAGGGCCATTGGTTTCTAACCTGGTGCTTTTGCATTACTGACATAAATGACCCTCTAGCTGGAGGGATCCTTTCATATTCCTAGTCTTTCAATTGATGGATGAAACCACAACTTCAGCGGTAGAGATAACAACCATCATTCTATACCTGTATACCTTCTTCTACAATTTGGCATTTATCAAAATAAGTTTTGGATTTATTAAGGAATTTTCTAAGCACTTTTGGCATCATATACATGTGGTATTTAAACATTCATGAGCAAGCATTTGAGTAGTTATATAAAGCATTCTCCTAGGAGGGAGAAAATGTACCCACTGCCCTGAAATATCTTATAATCTAGCAAGGGTAACAGAGAAGGTGAAGCACCTGGATATCAACCAATACTAATACCGATTAGTAATTTATAAATTGTTATAGCACCTACCTGGTACTAATAACAATTGATAATTAATTATTATAGCATCCACCATGAGTATGGCCTCATTCTAAGTGCTTTATATGCATTAACACATTTAAACCACATAACGCTATCAAGTAGGGACTATTATAATCCCCACTTTACAGGTGAGAAAAACTAGCCACAGAGAAGTTAGAGAACTTCCCTAAGGTTACACACCTCATAAGTGAAAGCGGTAGCATTAAGATCCACGTAACTGAGGTCTCAAAGCTGTGATTTTAACTACACTTCCTTTTATTTTAGCTCTGATAGGGGACATTATATAAGAGCATGATAGCTAAACAAGGCATATTAGAGATCATTCTGGAACTAGACAGAGGAATGATCAGAGAGGGGGATAAATTTGGCAAGTTATTTTGAATAAGGCATTTTTGAAGGGGATCTTATTGAAAAGCAAGGAAAGTATTCTGAATATTTTAATATCCAAAGCTGTGTGCACGTATGTTGCATGTGTGTGCACTGGTGTGCATGTGGCTGTTCGGAAAGGTACCGGCAGGGCGGGAGGCTGAGAGCAGTCACGGTCTGAGAAGTTCCGAGAACTGAACCCCGAGTGTGGCGAGGGGGCTGCTGGGGTTGTGGTCCCAGGGGGCTGCGGTTGAAGAGACTGTGCCGTCTCAGCCTCCTGGGGGACGCAGGCCCAGCTGCACCTGTTGTGCTAACTAGCCCCGTGGGACCTATCTTCAATTTTAGGCTAGCTGAGGGAGGAATGGCATTGGCAGGAGGGGGTGGGGCTGACTTCATGGGGCTTATGGTCTCCTTTCACCCCTAGTATCTGAGGCTCCCAGGCCCTGGCTGGCCCCGCCTCTTCTCCTTCATAGTGTCCCAGTGTGGCCAAGAGGGCCCTGGAGTTGGATTGGACCTTGTGTGTCAACGCTTAGGCAGGTAAGGGGAAACAGGTAGCAGTTAAAAAGGGTTTATGAAAAATCCTGGAGAATGTCCAGGTGTGTTTAAAAGTTCTCCACCCTCCTGAGTGTTTTCCACCACCCCTTTCCAGATCTGGGCCTAACTGCCTCCACTGCCTGGGCCCACTCAGGGAGCGCCTCACTGTTTGGGCAGCCATGGATTCTATCCCAGCCCCATCTTCAGTTCAGGGACACAACCTGGCTGAAGATGCCAGAGATTCTGAGAGTTGGCAGAACATGGGAGACGACTATTCTGAAGCTGCAGTTTCACAGCCACAGATGGCACTAGAAGAGGTGAGGCCAGAAACTGCAGGGAGTTGGGATAAGGTGGGGCAAAGCCTGAAGCCCAGGGAGCCAAGTGCCCCTGCCACTTTCCCTGCCAGGTGCCGGACCCACTGGCAAGCAGCCATGGACAGTCACTCCCAGGATCCTCGAGGGAACACATGTCACAGTGGGAAGTGAGGTACTTGGGGCAGGGTGGGTCTAACCTGGGAGGCCCTGCTAGTCTTCTCTAATCTCCACGCTTAATGCTATAATTAGAGATCTAGCCCTACCTCCTATCCGGGTCTGAATCCCTCCCATCCCTCTTCTAATATTCTAGGAACCAGACTCATTATTCAAAGAGAGAGCCTGATCAGGTACTGCGTTCCTCTGCTAGCCAGAAATATCTGGACAAGGTAAGTTGTAATGATTTTCCAAAGAGAGCTTTGTTCAATCAGGCTAAAATCTTAAAATTGGGAGTCTTCATTTTGATGCTCCAAGAGTCCATTAAATGGAAATAATTTTCAAGAGAAGGGCAGAACAGGAGGCTTCTGACTTTTTATGTGAGAAAGATATTTTCCCCAACAGAAACGTCCAGCACCTGCAGCCACTATAAAACTAAAAGAGAAGAGGCCCAGAACTCTGCCTCTAGCTCCAAGTTCCCAACAAGGGCTCCCCACTCAGGACCTACAAGAGGGAGAAAATTGGGAGCAAGAAGATAAAGATGAAGATATGGGTTCCAGGCTGGAGCATAGTCCCTCAGTTCAAGCAGGTAAGCATTAATGAGGGGGGTAAAACTACCATAATGGGGAAAAAGGCCTGTATAATTACTTTTGTGTCTTCTTCCTTCCTAGACTCTGAATCCCCACACCCTGAAGAGGTACCAGATTATCTCCTGTAAGTCCCCTATATAAAAGACTTGCATATATATTAAGATGAACTTTCTGGGAGGTGAAAGGTTTCTTTTTTTGGTGGTGGTGGTGGTGGGGGTCACAGTGAAATTGAAAGTGATAACTCTCTGCTTTCGGCAGGCAATACAGGGCCATCCACAGTGCAGAGCAGCAACATGCTTATGAGCAGGACTTTGAAACAGATTATGCTGAATACCGTATCTTGCATGCTCGTGTTGGGGCTGCAAGCCAAAGGTTCATGGAGCTGGGAGCAGAGATCAAGAGAGTTCAGAGAGGAACTCCAGAACACAAGGTAAAGACTGGATCCAAGCTGGCTTTCCAGCTCTACTGGCCATAAACTCCTGCTAACTGCCCATAGCTTATGTTTATTCAGCAACAAAAAAGCGAAATGCAAGCCTGTTTTGAAAGAAAAAATTGTCTATTATCATTTGGTAGAATGGGAAGGGAAATTACTTCCCTCCCTTAAGAAAATAGAGCTATTTTTTGTTTGTTTTGGATAATAGTTATTTATTTTCTTAAAATTAAGGTATCGATACACAATCTTATAAAAGTTTCACATGAGCAACATTGTGGTTTCAACAAGAATGGAGCTTTTTTCTCAAGGTTAAGCTTGGTGCTAGCATTTTCTTTGTTTCAGGTGCTGGAAGAAAAGATAGTCCAGGAATATAAAAAGTTCAGGAAGGTAAGATAACGTCTGGGGATGGTAGCAAGAAGGTAGAAATGGTGGATTTTTTTTCTTTTAAACATGGATGCTTTCTCTGCAGCGGTACCCAGGTTACAGGGAAGAAAAACGTCGCTGTGAGTACCTGCATCAGAAATTGTCCCACATTAAAGGTCTCATCCTGGAGTTTGAGAAGAACAGGCGCAGCTGAAGTTGTGAGAGGGCTCTTGGCCCTCTGCCCTGTGATATGAAGGAACAAAGCAGCTATAAACTAGAGTGCAACTGTCTGTTCTTATTACTGTGTCCACAGTGGCAACTAGGAAAGCTCCTCTAGGTTCTTACGGTTTGATTTTCATTGTTGCCATATTTTAATTTTTAGGGTGTGGGCACAGTGCCAACACCCCACAGCTATGCCCAGGAGACTAGGAAAAGTAGCAGAGGCTTGGCTCCTTCACCTTTAGTTGAAGCTAAGTCATTTTCAGATCTTGAGAAATGACCCTATTCCCAGGACAAGATGCCTTGTCGACATTAGAATTTAGCCTGGTAGCTTCTCTAAAGAAACAACTAGACCTTTTGGTAACAGAGCTAAAGGAACTTGTAATACATCTTGATACAATGGGAAAGGGCTTAGGTGTTATCCATGTACTTAAAAGTGAATTTTTACTAACATGGCTAAAATATTAAAACCGTTTCTGTGTCCTTTATACAAGTTATTATATGCTTTCTTTATATTCTCCAAGGCAGTGGTTCTTACCCCTGGCTGTTTATCTGAAACATCTCTGGGGCTCTAAAAAACTAGATCCCCAGATCCCAGTCCAGGTCTTATGAATTAGAATCCCCAAGTTATGGTTAGGCATCTTCACTTTTTTCAAAGCACTATGGATGATTCTGATATATATTTTGCTGTAAGGCTCTACCAAATTCATCTTATGATCGACAACTAGAGAATATAATAGGAATAAAGTTCTTTTCTAAACAGTTTTATGATCACTTACAATTAGGGATCTATCTACCTGGAATTACCCAGTGACTGAAAACTGTAACTGGATAGGATTTGGATTTACCCACCAAAAAGAAGAGTGAAATAGTTCATATGAACAAAGATCACACCAGTACTACCATTTTTATTCCTCATCATTGCAGAAGAAATGTGGATGCTTCATTCACAACCAGGAATGATACTGCAGAGGAAGTTAATGGGCCACAACGTGGGCCCTGTGGGGGAGAGCTGCACCCAGAGGTGTCAGCAATTCCTGAAACTTGGAACCCCTACCACACCCACACAGTGCCACACCCAGGCAGGGCACTTCTGGGCGGAAAATAGCCCTTGGGAGGTATAAACATGCTCAGCAGCGTGGCAAGGATAAACAGCAACCCATCCCTGGGGCATGGCAGGATCAGAAAGAGAGACCAACAAGAAAGACTCCTCACCTGTTCAAATCATCAAGCTAGGGGCCTCCTGGGCAATAAACACATGTAAGAATAGAAAGATAAAAATTGGAAAGAATTTACAGGTGATAATTATGGACCCAGTTAGCTGTTCTAAAGCTGCACTGACCAATATGGTAGCTATTAGCCCTATATGTGACTATTTAAATTAATAAAAATTTAAATGTAGTTCCTGGCCACATTTCAAATGTGCAATAGCTACATATATTAAACAATGAAGATTATAGAACATTTCCATCATTGCCAGGGAGTGCTACTGGACAGTGCTGTCAGAACCTTTGGTTCCCCATCTTGTGGAAAAAAGACATCTTAAAGGGGGTTCATTTATTGTCACTGTTCCAAATGTACAAAAAAAATTAGAAAATAACCCCCCTGGCTCAATTCCCCCCACCCCCACAACATTCCCCGCCAAAACAAATAATTTTTCCCAAAACCACGAACATAAACTGGTCCTGGTATTTCCATAAACAGTGCAGCTAAGAAACAGTTTAGAGAAAATTTAACAGGATTCAGATTATATCCATTCTGTCCTCTCAGCCCTGAGAGTAATAATCCCATATGGGTCTCAGTTCTCCCAATGGTTCTCCCATCTCTGCTGGAAAAGTCCTTTTACAAAGTGGCCTGTTTGGCGCTGCTTTAGAGATCTTCCTGTGCCTTCTTCTTCTTCTTGGGTTTTTCTTCTTGAATTACAGGGGGGTTTGTAGCCTCTCGTTGTAGATAGCTAATAAAATCATTTAATTCACGGCCACCCTGAAAACAGAAAGATTACTTTGAAAATTTAACCTTTGAAAGAACCTTGAATTTTTTTCCCTGTAGGAAGACTTTTGAGTTTTAAGAGCACATTAGCAACCATATATATTGACCATGAGAATTGAAAGAGTTCTGGTTAAACTCAAAGATGTGGATATGTGTATGTGTGTGTGTATTTGTGGGGAGATGAAACAATGCACTTACTTCATATTTCTTTGGATTTAGCTTCTTGTTGGCTGGAGAGAAGTAGATTGTAGGAAAACTGGGTAAAAATCATGTCTTTTAAAATATGTAACAACTTCAATGAATTTTACCAAAATTCAACTACCATACAATTCACCCCTTTAAAGTATACAATTCAATGGTTTTTAGGATATTCACAGTTGTGCAACCATCACCACAATCAATTTTAGAACACTTTCATCACCCCAAAAACAGAAATAAGTGTTTTGAAACAAATGTGGCCACAAAGGAGATGGAACTAGAGTGCCTATTGGTACTACTGCTTTCCTGTCAAAATTCACAGATCCCTGCTCTGTGTAACTCAGATCTTATACTATTTTATTTTTTGCAGTCTAGCTCCAAATTGCTGTAAAATGCCACCTTATTTTAATTACATTTTGATTGTGACTGTTGAAGGATTATGTATTTATCTGATTTTGAATTCTCAATCCAAATTGTTTGTGTAAATTTCTTTATTATGTATTTCTCACAAGTGTATTGATATTAGTACTGCATAACAAACCAGACTTGTATTTAAAAACAAAACTGCTAAAACCACTAGTTAATGGCTACCTCCTTGTCTAAGCATGCTTCTAGAGGGGGCCAGAGATGCCTGATAAATTTTATGTGTACACACTGGCATATTTTCGTATTTCTGAAGGTTATGTCTGATATAGGTTACTAGTGGATAGGTGGTTGAGATAAAAGCTTTTTATTTTCTTGGCTGAGGTGTATAGTATTGGGGTATGTGTTATGGAAAGTGTGTTATTAAATGTGTTCCATGATACTGTGTACAGATATTGTGAAATATTTGTCCTTTTTGGAAAAAAAATATGAAAAGATTGGTCAGCCAGTCAGACTTCACCAAAATATGGTCATTTGTTAGAGTCAAGGACTACATTTCTGTCTGGTGGGAGTTATCCAAATATCTGCATGTGTGGTGCAGGAGGGAGCAGGCTGTTTCCAGTCTTCATTACAGTAACAAGTGATAGTCAGTGTTATTTTGCAGGCTAAAGAATGGTCGTCTATTTTTTATTATTAAAATAATCTTTGGACATAGTTCAGATGTCTTGAAGAACATGGGTGACTTTTAAAATGAGTTAATTTGGATTTGTCTCTTGGTACTTCTGATTTCACCTACTTTTTCTTTCAAAATGATTTTGAAATGTTATTTTATACTTCTTCAGTATTTTTCTATGCTTATTATATACTTTAGTGTCCATTCAGGGGCCAAAGTAGTTTCATTTGAAATTGAAGTGGCTTGATTCACTCAAAAAGATTTGCTGTGAATCTTGAATATATTTTTTATTTGCCCACATGGACTCTCTGCTCATCATGTGTGACAATGGTGTGCTCATGTTGCTGCTGGGGGATAGGATGGAATCAGATAAGATGGCATTAAGGTCACTGGAGCAAGCAAACTAAGTATAACTTTGTATTTATTTGGTGAAAGCACGTCTTTATCATGGAGATTAATAGTTCACATGGCCTCAGGGCAGGGAATCAGGTGCTGTGGAGTTAAAAAGAAAAGATGCTTGATTAAGGAATTTCCGTTTCTATATTAAGCCTTTTTTTCCATTGCTAATTTTGTTTTTCTAACCTACTATGATGCTGGGCCATGTGGGGTTTGAAATCTGTTCATTTAAGGAAGTCTAATTGGTCTGGTTTAAGAGGGCCATCGTGAATGAGAAAGTATCACACCACGGAGAAAAGAGAATCTAGAGGAATGCAAATATTGGGTTTTCTGAAATGACTTGAGATCTAACTCAGTGATTTTAAAAGATGAATCCATTACCATATACCTATAATCTATTACTTCACAATAATTTGATCTTGTGCTTAAGTTAGTGCCAAAGATGGTTTACACTCTTAAATTGTTTAGAATGGCTTTAAGGGGCTCTGCATGTGGGCGAGGTCCATCTACCTCTTTTAAAGATGAATCTGCTTTATCTCTAGATAAAGGAGACTCACTGACTTTTATTAACCTTACTATGTATGACAGCATTATTTCTCTGATGAGATGAAATGAGGTATTTCACTGAAATTCATTCAAGAAAAATTAGTGAGCCCCTTCTTACTCAGGTTTTGGGAATGAAGTGGTCAATAGGCAAAGTCCTACTTTCATTGTCAGAGACACTCATAGTATGCTGTCCATCCTCTTTGTTCTTCTGAAGAGCTGGGGAAAGGCCTTCTAAGGTCTAGTGTGTCTCTCCTGGTACGCTTTGGTGAGAGTCAGTATAACTATAAGAAGAAAGAGTAAATTGCTCTCTAGCTCCATCAAGCTGAAGTGCTGCCTTTAGTTAAAAACCCTTGTTCTTTCCTTGTGTGCCCGAAGTACCTTCTAAGTTATTACCTGTATCCCTTTCCAGTGGCTTAAGTGGAGATTATAAGATCACAATTGTGACAACCATCATTTAACATTCAATTGGAGAAACAGTGGAAATACAAGCTGCCAGGGGACTTGTATAGGAATAGATGATTTCCATGGTATGGCATCACATGACAGGCACCTAGTGGCCCTGCCTGTTTTAAAAATATTACTTCCAAAGGTACTGCAGTCTTATAATTTGCTTGACGTTTCCACTGTTTGGTTGGACTTATGTATGCTAAAGATTTGTTTGGATGGTTTGATTTTGGTTTTTACTTAACAGAGCCACTTTTTAAAAATCCAACCAAATGAAGGCTAGGTACTTGGCTCTGGCAGATTAAAATGGGTTTCCACAAAGCCTTAGCATTGTCTTCTTTAACCTTTTCTTCTTTAATGTGGAATAGCTTACTTGATATGTAATTATCATTCTTGGAAGATACCAAGAGCCTCGCCATGAAGAGGCATTTCAGTATGCTGGCAAAAGGGATGGATGGAAATTAGTATTGGAGGGCAGCTTGAGGTCCTGGCAGTGCAGGGTTAGCTATGCTGGCATGTCCCTAAAGTACTTCTCGGGCTCCTGTGTAGAGCTTGCTGTGTTAGGAATGACATGTGCAGGGCCACCTGAGTCTCCTGAACACCTATTATACATAGTAACTTTCACTTCACTAGTTTGAGAACCTTAGAAATCAATTTTCTTAGTTAGGGGACATGAATACTGCTAAATCCAGGCATGAATGTTGTTCCTTTCTCTCCTGTGTCATCTTCAGTGATGAGAACTTTTCTATCAGTTAAAAAAGCACTGATTCTGCATACTAGACTAGGAATTTAAGGATCATAAAAATTAACACAAGCCCATTGCTGTACTATCCGAACTATGTTATTTAGGTGATTTATGTTGATAACTCACTCTTTCCTTCTGTTCATGTTCACTGCATTAAATTGTTTTAACACATTACATTCTGATAACCTACACAGTCTCACTTAATCTTGAAGGATGTGAATTCTAGAACTCCTTTTTAAAACTCAGTTTGGTTTTATTGGTAAATATAAGCAGTTCTTGAGTCCTTCAGATCCAGTTTTGAATTTCACAGCATATTCATGTGGATACAGGTTAAGCTGTTGTGAGGAGACCTCCAAATACAGTGCCTTAATCAAGATATTTCTTTGTCATGTAACAGTCAGCTGAACAGGCCAGGGTTGGATGGCAACTCCTCAGTTATGTGGTACCCAGGCTCCTTCTGTCCTCTTCTCCATCATCACTAAGCAGCTTCCATCTTGTGAGCCTAGGTGGCTGCTCTAACTCACTGTCACATTCTCATTCCAACAAGAGGGATGGGAAAAGAGGCGGGAGAAAAGACACTCATTCCATGTAAGGATATAGCTTAGCAATTGCTTACATCACTTCCACACATATCCCATTGGCCAGATCTTAGTCACATGGCTAGCTCGAAGGGAGGCTAGAAAATCAGTCCTTAGCTATGTGGCCATGTGTCCAGTCAAAATTATAATTACTATCTAAGAAGGGAAGAATAGATACTGGGGAACAACTAACAGTTTCTGCTATGGGCTATTTCTAATGTAAAACTTGAATCTTTGGTCAGTTTATTTGGAGATACTATTTCCAGAATGTTGGCTACCCATTTGCTTCAGGATAAGAACCTAAACTTGTCAGTATGACATAACAGCCCATCATCATTTTGACTCCTGCCTTTCCCTCTGGCTCCTCTCTCACTTCTCCTAAAGTTTGCATTCTGAATTGCACTTCTCCAAACTTGCTGCATTCTCCTAACCTCCCACTTCTGTTGTTGCAATTCTCCCTGAAATGCTGACTACTTCTTGTCCTTCAGTGTTCAGTTTGGTTTTCACCTGTCCTGGGAACATTTCTTTGAGGTTCTTCTACTTCATGACCACAGTGAGGTGTTTCTTCCATGTAACTCTATAAAATCATGTGTGCCTCTCTTAGCAATATTTATTATAAGTAGTGCTTTTACTTCTCTATTCCTCCCACTGGATTATGAGTTCCTTGAGGGCAGGGGCCAGTCAGTCATCTCTGTGTTGTCTGGGATGATACCGACCCTAATGTTTAATTAGTGTTTGTTGAGTGAGAAAATGAATGAATAGATAATTAGCTTACTGATTATGTCTGCTTGATTCATCTGGCATCTCTTCTTATTTGCCATCTTGAAATTGTAATACTTAGAATATTTTCCAGTAGCCAGGACTGGGTAATTTTATAATAGACTGGTAAAATCAGATAGACAGCTTGAAATATTTATGAGATGACTACAATATACATGTTGCAGGAGGTACAAGAAATAGAGGTACAAATTTTTAGAACCAGGAGGAGCCCTAGGGATCATTTAACCCACCTCTTCTAATTTTAAAAAGATACCTAATCCAAAGGAGAGGAAGAAAAGTATTTGCTTAAGGGTCTCAGTTTCCAAGGAGCTTGCAGTGTCATTGGGTGAATGAAATGTACAGACATGGAAAAGTTGATTTAGAAAAAAGTCCAAAGAAATCGAAAAGACTGGACTAGTCAAGGTAGGTTCAACCAAGGATTTAGGCTTTGAGGTTAGCCTTGATAGCTGGGTGGGATTTTGATATGAGAAGACATTCCAGGTGTAGGAAATGTATAAATCAAAAGTGCAAAGTTAAGAATGTAGATGACTGTTGGGATCTGTTG